AAGTCCAGCACGAATCGAAGAGTTATTGAGAGCAGTTTCGCTGCTGAGTCGCATGCTGCTGTTCAAGGACACAGCTTGGGTCGTCACGTGCAAGCCTTGCTAAGTGAGTTCCGTTGGGGTTCCAAGGTCGTGTGTGAATTTGATGACAGAGAATGGCAAGAAAGGATCCCCATATTTCTGTGCACTGATTGTAAGTCACTGTACGACTGCATCAAGAAAGAGGGGTGCAGCTTGAGTGATCGATCCTACCTTATCGGAGTTGTGCTTCTTAGGCAGCTGTGTGGCATACGCTCTAGCGACAGAACCAACCTGTTGTGGGTTCCCACTAGGCTTCAGAGGGCTGATCCCTTGACGAAGAAGGGGTTAGGCAAGCAGATGCGGGAGACCCTGAACACAGTTGAGTTTAAAGGGGAAAGCTTGAGACAGCTTAAGCGCAGACGTTCAGATCAAGAGAGAATTGGAGTCAGTGCTAAAGGTTGCTGATGTCCATTGATCTGAACGCATGTGCTTGTGCCCATACGACGCCATAGCGGCTCCGGGATACCTGCTGAGCTAGAAAAGGCAGGGCTATGGCTGGCATGCATAGGGAGTGATCTGACTGTGTGCGGCAGTTCGCAGTAATGTTGGGCTTAGCCAAGGAGCGTCCTGATGTTTTGCGACAAGCTGCCTGTAGGGACATGTAGTGACATCAAAGTAAGAAGCTTATATGACAAGGAAATCTGACAATGCTGCTCGCCTGCAGCTTGCATTGATGCAAATTTAGGTTGAATTAAAAGTGCAAATCCTGCAATTTTGTGCGAGGAGGTGAGCTCAATTCCGCGTAGGATTTAGTGATATGCAATGCGGTACAGAGGTTCGAGGAGTCAAAGAATTATGGATGGGAATATGGATAGTGCGAAATGGACTGGTCAGAGAATCTTATCAAAAGGGTTCCTCCCATTTGCTCAACCCTGTTGCATGCTTGCTTGCTCGTTTGCTTGCTTGTGCTCAGCTCTTGCTTAAAGGAGCTCCTGTGGGGTTCTGAAGTTCAAGCACTCCGGACTGTTTTGAATCTGTGCGTCACGATGTCTGACCTATGGTGCCCGCAAGGTCTCTGGGAGACGGTCATTGCCGCTTTGATGCAACGTGATGCTTCAGCAGCTGGCTCCAATCCCCCTACCGTAGAACTTCACATGCGCAACTAACTCCAGCCTGTTGATGCAAATGCAGCTTGCCCATGAAAACAGCCTGGTGTTCATTATATGCAGTGTTGTTGTGAGTCATTCTTCAGAATAGTCCTTGTTGTGGTCTCTCTCATTGTTCTACAGAGGTGCCACAGATCCTGCGGTTGTGGGGTGCACAAGATATCTCCTCATTCTAAAAACTTGTCACGAAAGCTAGCCTTTGTAGGCTAGTGGCATGTCTCATCGCCAGCTTGTAAACTGCATTCAACGAATTGGACAGCGCATGTGTTCCCAGAAGGAAGCACGAAAACAAAGCAGTGTCAGCAGTTCCTGGAATTGGTGTGCCCCGGAGCGCATGTGAGCTGTGCAGCCATTGGCCTACATCCCTCAACCCTGCATAGTTTGCCGCCGACACATATGTTGCCCTGAGGGCCTGAGCCCATCAACACTTGCAGGGTGTTGACATCCCTCCAGTCCATGACCCAACTGCTGAACCCTGGATCAGGACTCAGTCCGAAAGGCAGAGCATCAGGCCGGAAAATTGGGCATACTGGGCATGGTTGGGCATGGTATGCAGTTGTTTTGTGAGATGGAACTGGAAGAAGGCCTTTCCATACTTTGCGCGGTGCGGCCAGGCTGGGGGCCTGAATGCCGTTTTCCAGACCACGCTGCTCAAAGGCTGCGCATGTAGAGGGTCGTCACCGAGTTTTTTGTGGGCGAAATCTTGCCCCATTAGCCAGCTGTGAGCCAGAAGAAGCTTCAGGCTGCCGGGAGGCCCAGCGATGGTCCGAAGGCCTCAGCTCGCTGTTGGCTGGTCGATGGGTGGGTGCCGGGACCCAGAGATCTGGTTTCTGGGAGGTTGTGAAGGGTTGAGGGCAGTTTTACGGATTCGGGGTCTAGGATTTCAAGGCTGACCATGCAGGTTTAGCATCGAGTCCTTTGAAGACACTTAGATGATCCTTTGGCATGGTGGTTGCTGTTCTGCTTTGCTCTGAAGAGCTGCAGGGATCAACGCCTTGCTGGAGGACTCAGGGTTAAGACAACAAACCAGTGATGACATCGATCCAAAGCTCCACCCGTCATGATGAACTAAAGTTGCGGAGCTTTACGGTAGATCATCGCTGCGCTTTGAAGCGATCAGTCGATGCAGAAGTTAGATGACTTCTCGAAGTATGAAGGTCCCAAGTGCTGTAGCCTTTCAGCATCTGTCAGTTATGTCCCCAATACCATGAATTTCTCAACAATTCTGCATGCTGCTTGCTCGTCCTGGATGAGAGTGCTGGCAGCCCAGGTTTGGAACCAAATGTTGTGCTGTCCCCGGATGCAACCTTTGGTCACCACATTTCTTGTGGCAACAACAGGCATTTGTCCTAACAGCTTCCGTGCTCAGTGAGGGGTGCTGGTTAACCTGACCTCGAGTGTCCTGCCAGTCGAGGTGTCCGTCACCGCGGGAGCGCGGAACTCGGAGTCGGTTCTAGCTTTGCGCGAAGGATGGCCATCTAGTGGGTATCCACGTGAAGTTGTTAGTCGAGGCGCTTCAAGATAAGCAACGTCAGGCTTGGGTGATTTGGTGCATGGCCCGGAAGACTAACCTTGGACCAGCAGTTTTTTTTAGGGCCATGTCGTGAGAACTGCATCACCTCACCCTCGAAGCCCCCGCATGCGGACCTCAGAGCCGATGTCCTAGCAGGGTTAGGCACAGCATGGCTGGTATGCAACCCTGCTGATCCCTGCAGTACCAGAATCTTGCGGAGGAGACAAAACACTCTTAGACCCACAGCCGCAACCACAAAGGCTGCAGAATCAATAAGTTTACATAAGGCTGATGGCTGCAGCGCCTCGGGGCGCTGGCAATTTGCTGAGGACAGGAGGGTTTGTGCGTCAAGAAACTGTGGCATGATTTAGTAAATTCTCTCTCTCTCTGGTTGAACAGTTTTGGTTTCTAAACATGTGACAGGACAATGGCACAAGAATTTCTAAAGATTTCCTGCCTCAAATTCTTTTTTTCTTGCGACCGTGAGGATGGTCACTGCTTTAGAATTCTGGCAGTTTATTCCTTGGATCCTCAATTTTACCTCTTTGCAATTCTCAGGGCCTGCTCGCCTCGGCGCAAAAGGCGGCTCTGCGCCTTGCAGCTGTGGCGCACTCTGCGGCAACCGCCGGGTTGCGAGGCCAGCGGGAGGGAATCCTGCTATCGCCACTGTATGATCAGCCCCATTGAATCCAGTGATTCCTCGTAGAAAAACACTGGAATTGTCATTTCGTGAGGTGCTGGCACATTCTGTTGGTGAAGCTACTTGGTTTTGTGTACTTAAGCATTGAACGAATCAAGCCGGGCAAAAACCAACATCAGTCTCAGATGAAGCTTTAAATCTTCTAAATCTTCAAGCAGCTTTTAGTCTTGTTCCATGATTGTCTTGCCTCAGATTTGTTCCCTTGCTTCTGCATGATTGTACCTTATGTGAGCTCATGTGTCACTAAGAGTGGATTATCTCTAGGGTTTCAGGATTGAAGGTTTGGCGCTTGCAGGTCGAAGGTTTGGATTCAGATTACAGTGCTAGCACGCTTGACGCCCCTAATGATTCAGCCGCTTTTATTCCATCTCCTGCCCGAGCCACCTTTCTGCCCCAAGTACGCAGATGCCTGGAGCCGGGCAGTGATACACATTGACCAGGCATGGGCAGGAGTCTCTTACCTTGTGTTGAGTGGTGTGGGCAATGCCAGGCTGCAAGTAGGGCTGGTAGACGTGTTCGATAGCAGAATTCAAATTTCAGGTTCCAGTGGTCTGCAAAGGTAGATTTCGTGCGTGTGTTCTGACATTCGGAGTCATAATTCGGCAAGCTACAAGGAACTTATGGATTCTGTGGGCAGAGAAGCGTCACGGGCGCAAGTGCTCATAGATGGGAAGAGAGGTAGCTTGACCCATCACCACTTGGACGCCTGAAGTATGAACTTATCGAATGCAGGCACTTGTCGTCCCTGCTTGCACATCACCTCAGCCTCAGCATGATAGAGCTAGTAAGGATCACTTCTTCAGAAGGAAACACGTGCCTAGGACAATCTGAAGCATGGGGCTTTGTCGTTTCAAGGTTTGGATCACCCCCAGCTTCTACAGGTATATACTGCCATGTCTTATCTAAGGGCAAGAGGCGAATACTATTGGGAGACACTTGCACCTCGCTGCTCCTCGCAGGTCGACCAGCGCGGCATGGATGCTGAGGCCGCATTGACCAGATGAACCTGTGCCTGTGGGAGCTGAGCATCAGTCAGTATGCATTGTTCGAGGATGTGCGTCTTCGTGCTTCAACCTGGAAAGTTGGATTCACGTAGTCAGTTTGCTCTGGCCCATGTTCTTACCGTTTTCAGACATTCATCAGCCCAAGATCTGACACCACACGAAGACGTGTCGCGCACCGAATGGCCGTGAATTTGGACCTGGCTCTTGATTCGGAAGGCAAGTGCTCACAGCACGGCGGCCAGCATCTGCCAGAAAAGCAGCCATGGCCCAAGCACGGCTTGATGGGGGAAACGTAAGTGGTTTCAGCATCCTTTCAAGCCTTACAAGCCTTCAAGTTGGGAGCTTTTGCTTTGTCAAACTGAGGTAATTGGGAGGGATCGCTCGACCTCTTCACACGCGCCACGGAGAGGCGCCATGTAGCTGAATGATCTCTAGGCTGCAGACAGGGCCCGGGGCACGGGGTTGCAGAGTTTAGAGGTTCGTGTAAGGGGAGTGTCAGTGTCACTGGCGAGCCAGCGCGGTACAAAGACAAGCTCGAGAGCAGCACTGGCAAATTGCCAGTTTCAACGTTCAGTTGAGGTTTCCTTGGCCATGGGAAGGCTTGCTTGCTACCCGTGGATTCGCTGGGTCCCTGCCTTCTTCCAAACTGTACGTGACCGCGTTGGCGGACCAAGTCAACTTGGCATTTTTCTTGGCAGAGCATGCAAGCGGACTGGCTACAGCCCTTTGCCGCTGGCTTCTTAAAAAACAGGACATGCAGAGG